CGAGAACCAAGTCCGAGTCATAGCTAAATTAGTTCACCCGAATTTGGTCCGAATCCGTGCATTCTACTGGGGCGTCGACGAGAAGCTCATCATCTACGATTTTGTTCCGAACGGCAGCCTCGCCAACGCCCGTTACAGTAAGTCCTTTTTCCCCCGTTTTCATATGCACACGTTAGTTCATAAACATGGTGTTAGGCTAAATTGCGCTCCTGAACTGAAACCATGACGGTGGAGTAGGTGTAACTGAAACCCTGTTTAATGTATGGGTAAGTCAACTCTGTCTGGGGCTGTGGGTCGTATTTCCCGATTCTTATCGTGTGCCCCACGGCGTTCGATAGTGAAATGCCGATCATAATTCCGCGACAGCTCTCTTTGGCTTTTAGAATATGACCTGTCCTTGAAATTTTCGTAGCCCTCTTTTGCTAATATGCGCTTATTTGCAGGGAAGGTGGGCTCTTCGCCGAGCCATCTACCGTGGGAGGCCAGGCTCAGGATTGCTAAAGGAGTGGCCCGTGGGCTGGCGTTTCTCCACGAGAAGAAACACGTGCATGCAAATTTAAAGCCCAGCAACATCTTGTTAGGCGCCGATATGGAGCCCAGGATCGGAGATTTCGGGCTTGAGAAGTTTTTTAACGGCGAGAGCAGCTATAAATCGGGAGTATCGGCTCGGAATTTCGGGAGTAAGCGGTCAACGGCATCCCGAGATAGCTTCCAGGACCTCTCTTTTGGGCCTAGCCCAAGCCCAAGTCCGAGTTCAATAAGCGGCATCTCGCCGTATCATGCGCCGGAATCTCTCCGGAGTCTGAAGCCCAACCCAAAGTGGGATGTGTACTCTTTTGGGGTCATATTTCTAGAACTCCTAACCGGGAAGGTCATAGTTGTTGACGAGGTGGGCCAGGGAAATGGGCTCGTAGTTGAGGACAAAAACAAGGCTTTGAGGATGGCTGACGTGGCGATCCGTGCTGACATGGAGGGCAGAGAGGATGCCTTGCTGGCATGCTTCAAGCTAGGGTACAGTTGTGCATCACCAGTCCCACAAAAGAGACCCACGATGAAAGAAGTCTTGCAAGTGCTGGAGAAAATCCCATCTTCTTCTTCAATTTCATCATACCTCTATGGACTCTGATGTACGTACGGACGTCTGACATGTGGTTTTATTTAGTTTTTCAAATATTTCAGTGGGAACTGTCCGACATCATGTGCTATGGTCCCCGCGGTTAACACTAATCTTGCTTGCTAATTTTAGAGCTAGTTTATCCATTTTTTAGTTATTATGGACCTACATTTCTAGGGGCATTTGGTTTTTAATTTGAGAGTTATTTTGTCTTTACTACATGTCATGTTAACTGACTAATAAATTATACACTGTTGGAAGGATTTGTTATTTTTATTTTAATAATAGGGAAGGGTTTAAACTTAGGGGAGTGTATCAAGAGTCAAGAGAGAAAATTTTTGGGGTGTTGATTGTTGAGTCAATGATGTGTTGAAGATTTGAGCCTGGTTTGTTGGGCACACCAAGTGGTTGAGGGAGGCTGCTTTTGACAATATAGTAGAATTATTTTGCAGTTTAGGTAAGGGGTTTTTTTTTCAGTGCATAAGCTATCAACCTACAAAAAAAAAGGGAATAATGTAACATTGTAATTAACTTGTCATTGGTGGAAAATGTGGTCGCTCTAAGTAAATGAGGTCTAGTGTAGTACTTGACTTCAAGGGCAGTTATTGGGATTTTGTAGAGCTGTCTTGTTTGTTTTGGTTAGGTGAGAACTAAATTGTAGTTTCATTTATCCTCATCTCCTAGGAAAAAGTAGCAAAGGGCTTGCATTTTCAGTATCAGACTACAAACTCAATTATGCAAAATTCACATGTAAAACGTACGGCATTTATATATAATTATGGGTTGATTAATTCATTCTTTTTCCCAAATTACTAAAATACAAGTGGATCACATCACATGTTAGAGGTCCCCCTTTATGACGACTAACTAACTATTGCATGCGCAACAGCCATCATCCAGACTGTGGCATCTTCTTCACAGCCGTTTCTCTCTGTGTTGTACCACTGCCGGCCGAATTCCCACTAGCCATATGTCATGTGCAATGATATGTACGTAGCCTTAGTTGATACATTGAACTGACATTTACATCAAATCCATTAATATGCTGCCAAAAACAAAATTCTATGAAATTTATAATGGACAAAGCTAAATCCTAATCTTCTTCAACACGGCCCGGCTCCATCTATAGATTATTATTATTAAAAAAGTATTTTACAATTTATCTTATACAAATTACAAAAATATTAATCTCATAAATTAGTGAAGTTCTTATGAGCCAAGTAACATATCCACCGATCATAAAGTTAAGATGTTTGCAATTTGTCCTGTCAAAGCACTAAACTCAATTATTATTGTTATTATTATTATTTTTACTACTATTACTTTATCAACAAAATTTTTTTGTTCATTAGTTGCAATTAGTTAACATCTAAGTGGGCGATGAAGAGGGAATTTCTTCGTCATTCTGAAAGATTTTGATAATGAATTTTAAAATTATATACCAATTTACTAATCAACTTTATTATAAAAAAAATATTGTTTCTTTTTCTTTTTTTTTTGGCAAAAAAAGAAGAAGATGAAGAAGAAATCATGTAAACTGCAAATTATCTGGGCTGAAGATTGGGCTGTAAAGTGTAAACGGGCGTAGACTAAGGCCTCGCTGATTTCTACATTCTAAAACCCAAAAGAGCCCAAATACAAGCGAACTGAAGGCTGGAGTGGCGCAACGGTTTGGTCATGGCTCATGGCGGCAGGTTTTGTTTGAATTGAAAAAATCCCGCTCCTTCTTCCAATTTAAAAACCCTTTTTTTTTTCCGCCGGAATACCCGTTGGAGAGGTAAAAAAAAAAGAAGAGCGACTAAATACAGAGAGAGAAAAATAGAACCAGCGATAGAGAGATTCAGAGATCGGAAATGGCGACGAACATCGGAATGATGGATTCAGCTTATTTCGTCGGCAGATCTGAGATCCTCGCCTGGATCAACTCCACACTCCAGCTCAATCTCTCCAAAGTCGAAGAGGTTTTTCTTTTTCTTTTCCACCAAACACCGATTGCTTTTCTTTGGTCCAATGGTTTTCCGATAATCTTTGTTTGGATTTGTGCGTCGCAGGCTTGTTCCGGTGCGGTTCATTGTCAGCTTATGGATGCTGTTCACCCTGGGATGGTGCCGATGCACAAGGTCAACTTCGATGCTAAGAACGAGTACGAGATGATCCAGAACTATAAAGTCCTCCAAGACGTCTTCAACAAACTCAAGATCACCAAGGTTTCATTCTCTAAATTTGTCCTTCTTTCAATTCTGATTTCGTTTATTGTATAGTCAGATTCCTTAAGATCCGTGTAATAGGGTTCTAATTTTTCTAATTCGCAATTTTCTTGAATATGTTTAATGTGATTTTTTTGCGGATTCAGCACATTGAAGTTAATAAGCTCACCAAAGGAAGGCCGCTGGATAATTTGGAATTCATGCAATGGATGAAGAGATACTGCGATTCTGTAAATGGAGGCTCCCTCCATCAGTAAGTTTTTAACTCGAATTTATCCTAATTGATTGGATTTTTTCTTACAATTTATGCTGTTCTAATTTTTGTCAAATTTTATCTGTTATGAATCTTGTGATGAAATAAAATTGAGGATGCGTTACTATTGATTTGTATGATATAAGTTTTGTATTTGTTGAATATGTCACCCGCTTGAACCCTGCAACCCCTTTTTTTTTTTTTGCTTTTTTGGTCACATTTGTATATGTTCTTTATGAAATCAAACTTAGATTAGCTGTTAAACTTGAGTACTTATGCCGATCAATTGTGCTTATGACTATTAGAAATTCATTTTAGTCATGTTTGAGAGTTTGGTGATTGATGGAGCTCAAATTGATACCATTCAATTGTTTCAAGTCATCATAATGACCCTCTTTCACCTCCATGTTTAGCTACAATCCATTGGAAAGGAGGGAGGCTAGCAAGGGAGGAAAAGAAGTAATCAAGAAATCTGCATCATCACAATCCTCAATCAAGGGTGTAACAGGTGCCACCAGACCTCCATCTTCCCACAATGCTCGAAGGAATGATGTTGCTCCAGTAAATCCAGCAAATCCATCAGGGAAGAGATCCAAACCATCTAGTCCGGTGACTACTGCTTACGATGAGCAGGTTTTTTTTATATTCACATGGGTCTTGGGTTTACAATAGCCATTTAAGGATATCAAGAATCTGATGCGTACTCTCTATGTGCAGATTACTGAGCTGAAGCTGTCTGTGGATAGTCTGGAGAAGGAGAGGGACTTCTACTTTTCAAAACTGAGAGATATTGAGATTCTGTGCCAGACTGCTGAGATTGAGCACTTACCTGTACTGTTTTCTATTTTCTTTATGCAGATGTTAAGGGTACTGAACTGATTAGTATGCTAATTGGTAATGCATGTTTTTGTAACAGATTGTTGAAGCAATTAAAAGAATCCTGTATGCTACAGACAATGATGCATCGGTAATGACAGAAGCTCAAGCTATGGTGTCATCCTTTCAAGAGAAAGAAGCAGATCACTCATGTCCTATTGTGGAACTATCTGAAGAAAAACCAATTTCTGAAACTCAGAAGAGGAAAGGCATTCTCAATATCGATATTGATGCTGATGGCATTTCTACATTGTCTCCAAGGCAAAGGCTTTCCGATGCTTCAGATGTCCATTGCAGTGGGTCACCTCTTATGACTTACTGACTATCTCAAGCCTTAGGAGGATCCATTCTTTGTTACTTCTTCGATCTGACGAAACAGTTTTGTCAAAACTTTTGCTTAGAGCCCTGTATGTTGTTGCTCTGAATGCATTCCAACATGTTAAGGATAGACTTGAAATACTGTACTCTTCCTTAGTTCTTTACAGATATTGTTCCATTTGTATTGTCTATTGGGTAGATATAAATGTTCTCTTTACCTCAACGTTCCCATGCTTCAACTTGTCTATCTACGTTTTATATGACCTAAATCAAAGTTTTTGGCATGGTTCACTGCTTCACTCTCCAGTATTTCTCAGTTGGACGGGTTAAAAAAACATGTGAGTCTGAGCTAGAAATTGCGTTCTTATCATTAATGATGGGTCCTCCTTTTCCCTTCTCTTCCCTTCATTAATGAAAAAAAAAAGTCATTTTCAGCTAGGATGGGCATGCTTTTGAGCAATTCACAGTGAAAATACTTATTCTCCTTGACTGGAGATGCACTTGTTACCCTGGACTGGGATCAGAGAAGGACTAAAAATGGGTAATGATACGTGAACAATCTTTTGGTATAACTTTTTTTTATATAATTTTTATATGTTGTTAAATAAATGAATGTATATAATATTATATGTTTTTAATAAGGTAGAAAAATAATTAATTATTAAATAGCATGCAAGGTTATAAAAATATTATATAAAAAAATTGTCTCTCAATCATTTTCCAATTGAAATTAAAACAATGCCATAAGCACAGAACAAAATAATATTCTTTTGCTTTAGATAGGTAGAGCCATTTTTCATTGTCATTTGTATCGACTTGTAAAATGAGTCACAGTAATTCTTTCCTTTAAAAATACAAAGAAAGTAATCTTTATTCTTCTCCACTCTTCTTCAGAATCCCATTCTGTTTCCTTTATGCCTCAACGTCAAGGCCCATGTTTCATATTCCTAGCTTACATAATATGCGACCATATATTTCTGTTTGGACTCTCTCTTAAATCTTTTCAATCTAGATTTTTCTCCTCCTGATTTTCCAGGTCTGTAAACCAAATTTTCTATACTTTCATCCATTGTATTTTGGTTTATCTAGTTTGGTGTTTGATGTTAGAGCTATATGGTATTAGGTTGAAAGAGTCGCAGGGATGGGATTGGCAATATCTAGACTGCTGAAGATGCTGTTTGCCAAGAAGGAAATGAGGATATTAATGGTGGGTCTTGATGCTGCTGGAAAAACAACCATCCTTTACAAGCTCAAACTTGGAGAGATTATTACTACCATACCCACAATTGGTAATACTCTGCCTTCAGCTGCTTTACATCATTCCTCCGTCCATTCTTGATGAAGCCCAAGTTGAATTGGCTTTAGATTTCTTTCACAAAAATCTAAAGTCATGACTAGATGATGAAAGTATGCATGTTTTTTTATCAAAAGGAAATTTGTTAGTGGTTTGTGAGTCATCTTAATCATAGATGTGAGACTTCTAAGTTAGAGGTTTTAGACTTGATTAAATCACATAAATATTTGTAATTTTTCTCTCCTCTCTCTAGTTGTGCAAATTTGAATTGAATCTTTGATGATCCAGGATTCAATGTGGAAACTGTTGAGTACAAAAATGTTAGCTTCACGGTCTGGGATGTAGGAGGCCAAGATAAGGTAACTAGGCACGTAAGTACCATTCTATACAAATGATATAATAGTTATCATGCTAATTCACCTCCAAATTCTATATGCCATTTTTTTGGTAGATACGACCATTGTGGAGACACTACTTTCAGAACACCGAAGGTCTTATATATGTGATTGATAGCAATGATAGAGAAAGAATATCAGAAGCCAGGGATGAGCTTCACCGGATGCTGAGCGAGGTCACTTATTCTTATACATAATCCTAATTTTTCGGTTTATAATATGATGGGTGCTTACTAATACTGTTCAATTTTTTTCTATGCTAACTCATTGCAAACTCCCCCCCTCCCCCCCTTTTCAAAATGTTAATATTTTGCAGAATGAACTTCGTGATACGACACTGCTTGTCTTAGCAAACAAGCAAGATCTCCCCAATGCCATGAATGTTTCCGAAATCACTGACAAACTTGGATTGCACTCGCTCCGGCAGCGCCGGTGGTACATTCAGGCTACTTGTGCCACCTCTGGCCAAGGACTTTATGAGGGTCTTGATTGGCTATCCAGCAATACTTCTAGCAAGGCAAGATGAGCCCAATTTCCTTTCTTCCACAACTAGGCCCAAACTAAACTCCATTGACCCATTCTTTGTTCTTTGTGTTGGTTGCAGGCCTGATCCAGCCAGTGATCACTCAGGTCCATCACAATCATACCTAGCAGAAACATGCAATAAAATTTGACTGTGAAAGATTTCCTTTGTGTTGGTGGGATATTTTCCTCTCTTTCTTTTTTGGATATATTACTAATATTAAGAAAGAATGGTATTGGGTGGCTGTGTATGACTTTCATTTGCATTATATTTGCAAGAGTTAGAGATGTGAAAAAGACACAAGGTACCTTACTTATGAAATGAAAAATGGAGTTTAGCCCTTGTGGCTGTTAGGTAGAAGTGGGGAAGCTTTGCTCCAAGTCCCTAGGACTTTAGGTCAGATGTTGATTACACCACAAAGGCCCCAATTCCTGATATCATCATTTTCATGATTCCCGGGTAGGTAACCTCCTTGTTGACAAAAAATTTGCTTCAGTGGGTTTAACTATTGTACACCCTTGTTTTATTTATTACCAATACAACCCAAACATGGCTGTGTTCCATTCTCAAAATATTTGCATGAGGGACATGTTAATAATCTAGGTGATTTCTAGTTCATATCTTCTATTATGTCATAAATGTGTAACAACAAGACTAGAGAGTAATTTTTTATTGTATAATTATAGATACGTAAAACTAGTTGGTTAAAGATTTTGATACTTATATGTTATTAAAATATTTCTTTATTGTATAACCCTCGAACATACTAATGCCTCAATATTGGGATAAGAGGATTATGTAAAGAAGATATCAAATTATCAATTAAACCTTGCACCAGTCTATCATAAATTCTTACCAGACTGAAGAAATGTGTTTTCTTTTCTAACCCAGTGCATGTGGTTGTACATTTATGTACATATTGTCTTTTTCCCTCTCAAAGAAAATTCAGGATACAAGTTTGGGCCATCCACATTAATATAGCATCAACAACCTATGCCACATTCGTCCAAATTTCCCCTTCAAGACCCTGTTCTGCCATAAATCAACTGCTGTAATTCTTCTTTTTTTTTTAATCTAAGCTGGTGAAAGCAAAACCTCACATGCCGTTGAGTAGTTACAGACAAGATGAAGAGGACATAGAACAGAACACATTTGCCCCATAAGGAAAAAAAAAAAAAAAACCCAAAGTCCATCTCAACCTATGTTCTTGTTCTGTTCCCCTTGGACACTGGTTTTCTTGTCTTTGACTTGTTGTTTTCTTTCTCTGGTTTTGTTTAACAACTAGGTCTATTCATCTCTTGACATGTGACTGGGGAAAGGAGAAACCAATTAATTAAAACTCATTTTGCTTCTTAATTCAACCTGTGAAGAAATTTCCTATTTCCAGCTTCAACTTCTTGAAGCAGGAATTAACTGAATTGGATACTCTTTTGACAATCTATCCCATTAACATCTTCAACCGCAAACATATCTAGCTGCTTTCAACCACCTTCAGCTCTCTCATAACCAAACTAGTTACCCCGTTGCTTTCACAACTATCCATGTTTAACCTACTTCTTTCTCCACTCTCCTGAGTCTTTCTTCCTCCACTTCTAACCTGAGTCATAAAAATTTGAAATTCGACATATTGAATATGAGAGTCGTACGTTTAATGGATGTTGCAGCTATGACATGTTTTCCCATAATTTTTGACATAATGGGATCAATCATATGGCCTTTCATAATTGCAGTAACTAAATTTAGAAATGGGTTACGCTTGTTGCCTTGTGAGTTAATGCTATCAATGAAATCATTTTGGGCGATGCGGGATGCAAGTGCACATACCATCTGCCTCTGGTTACTTGTAATTGTGCCTTAAGAACTGCCTCATGCCATTATTTGAAATGTGAAAGTTAAAAAAACAGTAAGAAACAAACCTCAGAAAGGTTTTTCCTCTTTTATTTGCATCATGTTCAAGAAAATTACAGCAAATATTCAATGACAAGAAGTGCAAACAATTTTATTTCAATATGAACCTTTCAAGTTGTTCGATTTAATTAACCTCTCAACTGTAAAAAATTCACCTCTAATAAATTTGGATCAACAACCTTAGTTGATCAATTTAATTTTATGTATCTTGCTCACCATGCACATCCATGACAACCAATTTATTCTTAACTGTGCACTTTACCTACCCCAAATGAATTCCTTTCAAGTTTTGGGTACCAGAAGGCACTAAAAACAATATCAGTTCATTCACTCAAATTTCTTTTTCTGATATTATAATTTCATCAACTCACAAAAAGGCAGAGATAGGCAAGAAAATGCCACCAAAAACTGCATACTAACAAATAAAGAAAGAAATTGACAGGATTCTCCATAGTTATTGAAACAGGGGAAGTGCAGAGTCACTATATAAAGGTCAGCAATAGCTATTATATTTCCCAAATAGAGATCCGGACACCATCAATTCCATAAGAACAAGAACTTAAGTTTAACTCATGAAAATAATATATGGTGTAGAACAGTAGAAGTCCACAATAGCATACTTAAGATTGAATATGGTCCACTGTTCACACATGAAAAATTCTGCACAAGAACATGTAGCAAACTGATAAATAGACACTAAAAGGATAGCATATGACATAAAAACACCAATTAATATGAGTTAAGGATCTTGGTTATTATATCTTTAACTAGATTCAGTCCTCAACATAGGAAAGCAACGCCCGGTAGTGGGAATTCAGTTTGGTGGTTTGCTAGATGTTTTGACATTTGCTAGATGTTTTGACATTTGCTACCCAATGTCCTAATTGTTTAAACTACAGCATTTGGATACTTCAATTGTTTAGTGTCTATTAAATTGCTGCTTTCATTTATCCTTTACCTAGAATGACACAAGTCAACAATCAGTTCCTTCAAGAAAAACAACCGAAGACTTTGGTTCCCTACCTCCACTTTGGATTATTTTATAAGGTTAGACAGATGCAATGAAGGGATGGTAGAATCTGGAGTTTATGTTGATAGACAGCCATGGATAAGAATAATCAGAAATTGAGTACTAATTCTACAAAAAGAACCATACATCCTGTTTTCAGTGGATATTGATCCCTTCGCCATAAAGGCAATAGTTAATCATGGTAACAGAATGATTGCACATTAAGAACAGGTTGTGATAATACTAGGCAAAAGAGGAATTGCAGATTGTACACTAACATGTCATACTCGGTACTAGATATGAAAACAAGATAAGATTAATGAGGGGTACTAAGCACATCCACAAACATACGGTTTAGTGGAGGCAACTGCATCTGTTGATCCGGGGCTCTGCTCCTCTTCAACCGAGGCTCTAGGGAAGAGGAAACAGATTGTGTAACTGTAACCCCCCACGAATCATTCCAGATATCAGAGCTAAAAGATGCATCAACAACACCACTTGGGCTGCATGGTATCCATGAATGCTGCTTGCGCTTGTGTCCATGGTTCTCTTTGCAATTGCTTCCTGACAATTCTTGGATGAGCTTGTAGCACTCTTTCACTTCAGCCTGTTTAAGACAAATCAGAATTAACTACTGTGCAACCGAGTTCCAATAAGATTTCACAAAAACAATGGAAAATAAGTAATATAGAAACAGAGTAGTAGCATAATTGGGTATTAACCTCACAAATCTTGAGTACTCCCATCAGCTGATTCTGATATTCCAGATGATTCCATGGCTCAACCTCCTCAGTAACATGCAGCATTGTTGCAGCAGCCAATATGGACGGGAGGTAACCCAAAAAGCTTGCATCTGGATCAAAATTCAGTTGAAATTCAACATCAGAACCCACTCAAAAGTCGAACCAATGAAATGTTTATTTCCTTCCATCTATTATGTGTTAGATAAGAATGAGCTTAACGATTGAAAGCTTACCAGCAATGAGGGAGAGAAGCAAGCGCTCACACCGCCGAAGAAACTCCCAATGCAAATTGGTCCTCAATCCAAGCCTCCTTATAATGTGATGAAAGAAGGAAATTGGAGTCACAGGATGCATCCTCCATCCAAGACTAGAGAGAACCAGCAGCTCCATTCTCTGTACGGTCTTTGCCTCAAACACATACTTTGATTCCAGAACCTGAAACACATCAAAATACCCATATATTCAAAACTGAAAAAAAAAAAAAAATTCCAACAAACACAAAAGGTACTCTCTTTTCAATCTTGCATTGGCACATACTTGCAGGTCCAGAAGAAGGGGCACATGGGTCTCCTCCACCTTGGCTGCCAAAGACAAACAAACCACAGCAACTAATTGTCCCATCCATGGTTTGTCTCTTTGAAACCCGAGGCTTGAAATGAACCTATCCAAGTAATTCACAGCAAGAACAGCAGTCAGAGCATTGAACCCAAAGTGTGCTTTCACCTTCAAAACCCACTCCACAGCCTCTTCCCGAGCCAAAACTAAGCACTCATCTAACACCACATTGGTATAACAGAAATGGTTCTCCTTTTCCTTAGAAACTAAAGACATTAACTCATCATCCTCCCAAAACAGGTCATCCCCAACACAGAACAACGGGGAAAATGTCTCCTTTTTCACAAATTCACCACACTTTTCACTTCCATCTTCCACACACTCCCCTAATTCCTCCTCACAATAAAGCCCATCAAGAACCAACAATGGAGTTTGTAGCTGGTGGGTTTCATCTCTTTGCAGAGCCATCTTCTTCAGAGAAGAAGAAAATGAATCCTCTGTTCATTATACTCTAAGAACAGAAAATCTCAAGCTTATCTTACCCATACCTCTCTCTACTCTGCTGTGCTTAGTCTGGGAGAGAGACAGATTGAGTAAGTAACTGAAGGGTTTTATCAGAGAAATCTCTCACGCCTGTCCTTTTCCCCCCTTCGTTTCTCTTTTCCTTTCTTCTCTTTTTCTTTTTCCTTTTCTATTATATTGATCCCTGTTTAGGGAGCGTTTGGCGCTCTAAAAATTTTTCACGGTGCCCATTCAA